GAGGATTCAGCAAATCCTGAGTATCAAAGTATTTAGACACTTTTACCTAACGAAATACCGCGTACATACGTAGCTAGTATTTTCGGCGTCCTTTAAACGAGTCGCAATTCATGATGGCGGCACCGTAAAACAATAGAGACGTTGCCGGAGGACTTCCATCTGCATAAAATTTTATCAAAGGAGTCTTCCAATGGGATGGGAATCCTAAGGAGGCGAGGTGACACCTTTACGAACGATAACAGGGAGACTCTAAATCCCCTGCTTCAAGTACATTTCCCAGGCTACTTGGTGCAGCATGGTCTGATGGCCCCTGTCTCCTCGGAACACAGTTTCCCTAGAGTGAGAAGTCATAGAAGATCTGGCTTCATCTTTGACAGGGACAAGGTAGGGTGGGCGCTATAATCTTTCGAACCCTTCAAAGCAGCGGGTAGTGATGGGATCTTCTCAGCACTACTGCAAAGAAGTATTGAGGATATTATTGATCTCCTAATCTATCTCTGCCATAGACGGTCCCAACCCCGGTTTGAGAAAAGAGGAGGGGAGACAGGGGGCTTTGGGGTTTCCAGGGTACGGGCTTGACGAACCCGCCTCCCCCAATCAAAGGTTACCAATCCTGAGTCGGTCGGAGCCTCAATTGCAAGAAGAGTCTACGGCTTTCGAGGTCTTACCAGAGACTTAAAACCTGGTACCGCGGGCGAACAAATGTCGCTGGAGTGTGTTCGCTGGCTAGGTAATCAAAGCCGGTGAGACGAACAAGGCCAAAAGACAGGCCAGATGCACATGTAAGATCGTACAGCTGGTGAGATTTGCAAGGAAGAATGTGGCTCGTCAAGCAACTCGAGCGGGTGTAGAAAACCGGAAAAGGAGCAATAATACATGCTTATTGTCCACCCGGGCTGGAAAGTGCTCCCCAGTAAGGCTAGTAAGACCTGCGTGATTAGCGAGACGAGCAGAATGAATGAGGTGAATTAAGCGATTCAAACGAGGGTTGAAAGTCGGTTTTCACTCCGGGCTGGGACACCTGGGGTGGACTGAGATCAGTAAGTCTTGTGAGGGGAGCGAGACGAGCTGGATGATAATGGATGTTGTTATGGGTAGCAACACGATGAAGCTGCTCCCGGTTAGGGAGACACTGTTGGAGGTTGATGGATGTGGCTCGTCAAGCAACTCTAGCGGGTGTAGAAAACCGGAAAAGGAGTAATACTGCATGCCTTCACACCCCGGGCTGCAGTTTACTCCCCAGTAAGGCTAGTAAGGCCTGTGAGATTGGCGAGACGAGCAGAATGAATATAGGTTAATGGTGGCAACATGGCGAAGCTGTTCTCCGGTTAGGGAGACAGTGTTGGAGGTTGATGATGGCGGAAAAGCAAATCTGATTAGCTGTGAGGTTAAGCAAGTGTATTCTGGTAGGTTTACTAGGTCGCATGAGTTGAGCTGGTCGAGTAAGTCTGGCGGGCGAGCACTACTACAGTCTGTTCAATGAGGTACGGCCCCTTCGGGGAGTATCGCTGGGGCTGTGGTTTAATACCTAAATGCGGGTAGAACTCACAAGGGTTCAACGTGGGTGCCGGGACCCAAAGAACGGCACAGATTTTAGGTAGGTTTCGGCTTAACCAAGGTGTAAGTGCGTCCACCCCACACTGCCTTTGGAACGCAAATGCTTGCATTTCAGGGCAACGATTAAGGCATGAATTAATCCGTTAAGCTTTTGAGCTTCGTGGAGCTCGGACTGCATTAAATTGAGTTAGCTTCCCACGTTAAATCGAAACTATAGATCCCCTGATCTGAATATTTAGGGATAGTTATTGCTATGAATACATACCGTATGCTTGGAGGAAGGTGTCCGTGTTATTTATTCCGATATCGGGCAGCAGGCCCTTGACTTAGCCTAACTTCCTTTACTATCAAAATTTGAAAGAGACTGTTAGACCTCCATATTAGGGAGAAATTTAACACCTTCACTCCCTTAAACCACACATAATTTGCTTATGTCAAAAGGAAATCAAGGGATTCGGCCGTACAGTACTGGTTAGCAGGATTGAAAGCGCCTTCGAAGTCAAGGAGATTGCTCTGTGTACCTTCTTGGGCATCGAGGGGGCTTTCGACAATACTGCCTATCGACCTATTTCGAGGGCATTGGTCCAAATAGGTTTAGATCCTATTACTCTTGCTTCGTGTGCGTGAAACTCCATTGTACTTGGGCAATACTCAAGTGAAGATCAGAGCCGTAAGAGGCTGCCCACAGGAGGGTTCCTTTCTCCCTTACGCTAAGTAAGAGACTTAATTGGTAGAACGTTTGCTAAAGCTACACGGGCCATGTGGGTCTGCAGTAGATAATCCCCGGTCGCGAAGATTGGGCAAATGGGCTCCCTGCACTTGATCCCAGAAAAGTACACTCCTACACAGACGATTCAAGGATTGAGTAAAGAGCAGGGGCTGGTATTTTTGGACCCATGGGAAAATGGTCCACTGGTGTTGCAGGCTGAAATAGTCGCAATTTTAAACTGCGCAAAATTAAACCTTGAAAAGGGTTTAAAGGGCGCCTTTCTATTTATCTTTTCAGATAGCAAAGCAGCCATCCGGGCCCTTTCAAACAGGACTATGAAATCCAAGTTAGTTAGAGACTGCTTTGATACGCTACAAATTTTGGCTTCCAAAAGCACGGTAACGTACCGGAATTGCGCAGGACACTATGTGCACCGTCGAGATCGCGAGCGAGATAATGGTGGTGACTTAGCGTTCATCACGCACTACACTGTACAGTATCGTCTTATTGAAGCAGACATCGACAGCACGGATGCCAACTTAGAATGTCAGGGCATTGCTGTCTGGTCAGGCGATATTTAGCTCGAAATGTTTAACGTGTAGATACCCCCCGTCACTTGCTGCCCGGCAGGATATCACCCTGATATAGGTGCGCTCCTCAGAGGTGAAACCCGTATGGTAGTAGGTGAGTTTAATGCGCACCACGATCTTTGGCATTCAAGCCCGTCAAACCTACGGTCGGAACAGACTTGGCTGAGCAGATAGGCGATTCGACATTCTGCACAATGAACGACGACGCACCCACCAGGATTATGGGCAGCTGCTGCCAGACCGGTCATGGCGACCTATGCTGACTTTGGCATCAGACCATCTGCCCATAGTCATCTCGATCGATAAACCAACCGACTTTGCTTCCGCGGAACACCGGGCCTATACCAATTTTTCTAAAGCTGATTGGAAAGACTTCGTGGATTTACTGAGAGCACCTTCGCTGCGCTCCCCACACCAACTGACGTAAACCTTCGTGAACGTAAGTCCCGCAGGGACTTCATTATTTAGTTAAGTACCTACATACACACATGTGTAGATACATTTTTTAAAATTGCCATTTTAACATTGCCAGAATTTGCAATCAGTATTGCATTTTAGATGGGTTTATTTGATATTACAGTGCCTGAGTAGAATGGGATGTTTTACATTATTACTAGTATATATCGCACACCGTCTTGAAAAGAGTCACAACTCAAAATAATACGTTTGTCAGAAAATGCGAAAAACTAATGATAACCTTATGAGCAAGGGCGACTTTACCTTAGGTTTTTTTTAACAAATTATAACAAAAATTTGCTCCAGTTTTTGCTGAAAGGTAATTAAAATCTCTGTGTACATTTTTAGCGTATAATCCAAAAATTACAAATTTTGAGTTGTGACTCTTTTGAAGACGGTGTGCGATACACAGATGCGTGCTACTAATTAGCAACGAAATTCAAAACGATATTGCTTGCAAATTATGTTTATTTATTTATTTTTAATAATTTTCATTTAAAATATAATTCAATCTATAACAGAAACCACAATAACAAAAGTTGCAAAGCTTGCACAAATTGCAAAAAAATTAATCAAACTTCAAAAAATTGTCATCAAAATTTCAAAATTTTAAACGATATTGCTTGCAAATTATGTTTATTTATTTATTTTTAATAATTTTAATTGAAAATATAATTCAATCTATAACAGAAACCACAATAACAAAAGTTGCAAAGCTTGCACAAATTGCAAAAAAATTAATCAAACTTAAAAAAATCGTTATCAAAATTTCAAAATTTTTAATTAGAATATATAGAAAATGTTGGGGTATGCAGTTTTGTAGCCCATTCAATTTTAGTGTAATAAAGTGCAAGTTTCAAGTCGCTAAACATTACCGTTGATTTTTTGTGGAGCGTGTTGCGCATTTTCTTCCATATAATACATGATCAAAATTTTTTTTT